TTTTCGTTTCGACTAGCTGTCATTAACAGCGTCCCACTTTTGCACAGGAAACATGTATTTGGGTTATTTATCGGACGCCAAAATTTACTTCCAAAGGCCGTAGTCAAAGCAATCACAGTAAAACATTTTGTGAGTTGTCTTGATGCTTTTGGTGCCAATACCAAACTTAACTGACTTCGCCCTTCAAACTATTTTTTTTTACCTTATTACAAGACATAACATTATCCATCGCATAGAAGAAATCCCCCCTCCTTCCTCCTAATCTTTCTTATTTCACGTCACCGGCACTGCGGAGATTGGTACTTTTGAGTACTTGGGTCGAAGAATCGATCGAGTGCTAAAGAAACACAAGGATTCCTTGCATAGTTTCAGGAGTCCGGGGTGTGTGTGCGTTGGTTGCACCACAAAAGATGTCTGCAGCGATAATCGAAATATGGCTGAGATTAAATTGGTTCGTAATACCAGGGTAATGCCGCAGGTTTATTTCCGCACGACGTGAGTGGCCGTTGTGTCGCATTGAATGACCGTATTTTGTTCTCCTGGCTGCTCCTGTTAGACACCTTTGGAATGAATTTCGATCACTCAGACAATTTTTTCGATGCAGGTTTACCCTATGTGTGAATCTGTGTTTTTCTCGCAAATATGTCCACATTCAGCAGAACTCGATTCCCAAAGCGTAATGATGCAGTACTAGAGACGTAAGGCTACAAGGAGAATTTTTGATTAACTAAAATTCATCCAAAATATGTCACTGGAGCAGCCAGGAGCACTAGAGCCGGTCACTCAGCGGTATCCCATCAGTGACTCGCGCTGACTGAGAGTACGGTGTTATTGCAAAGTGATAACTTGTAGACCATGGTGTTACCCATGTCATATTTGGAAACATTATCGGTTAGCGATGCACTTACATGAAACAACATCCGTTACGGATGCAGGAATTCAGTTTCGCTGGAGACGCCGGATGTGTATTCATTAATCAAATTTGGCGCTGGATACAGCGCATTGGAGCCCAAAAATCACTTCCGGATTCAGGATATGACCATCGTAACCTTTCAAATTTTTATTCGACTTCTTTCGTGAACGTTTTTAACCATTTTGAGGAAGCGTGGCGCACCATTGTAGATTACGGTTTACCACAACCCGCATCAGAGGGTAAGCGTTATAGAAACCCGATGGAACGAATGGCGGAGATCTGCGAATTATTTTTCCGGGTGCCCAAAATTTTTGCTAATGCGGCTAATTTCGAGCTTGGAACGATCTAGAGTGTATACATCCGATAAAATGGATGCGGATTTGAAATCAGAGAGAGGAGACATGCTGGGAAGCTTTTTAAAACGTCCGAAGTTTGTCATTGGGAGTAATTTCGGGCGCCTATCGAGCAGTCTATGGCATATAACTTCTGTAAAGTGGACGGAAAATTGCCAGCTGATATTGCCGGAATGCTGCGTATACTTTTCTTAACGCCCGAAATTGTGTCATCTGGACTAATTTCGGACAATCATACCGGCAGCGGAATCGGGGTCACCAAGTTATAGGACCAGCAAATATTAGTCTGAAACTTGGCGCGTAATCCAACGCGGATACTATGAGGCAGCTTAAGTCGTACACAGCTGGTTATAGTCAAGCGGCAACAAGAAGATAGAGACGGATGATGGGAACGTCAACACAGTACCTCACTGAACAACCGATTGCGTGGGGGTATAGAAGAAAGGCGAGGAGCATTAAAACAAGAACGAATATTGCACGATCGATAAGTAATAAAATTGCACATGAAAGATACTATCCTCTTTCTGGATGCTACATGCCCCATCTACACTAGACACGTCGTCCATAGGGAACTCGGAAGTGAGTTAAAACAACTGTCCCAACCCAACGCTGTTTGGATGTAGACTAGAAATGGCAGCTGAGGCGTCCAACTCTCTGATAATCTCTGTCTACGGACTATTGCTGGTTCCGGATGTCAACAGCACATTCACAACGATGCAGACAAACAGTCAGACTAGTTTGTTAGAACAACAAATAATACGGAATACATTGCGTTGGCTTGGACATCTGCTACGTATGTTCGGTCACCGTTTACGGAGGAGAGCCTTGTTTTGTTTGTAGAGTGTCGCAAGGCTCTAAGTAGGCAAAAATTAAGTTGGCAGCAGGAAACGAAGTTACTGAAGAGCATATTGTATGCTGTTGGACCGTCTCGACCCACTTTGGGCTTGGCTAGAGACTTTACAGGATATGGCTCACACTCGCTATCAGTTGCGCGTCCGCTGTCTCCTAGTCGAAGTGGCTGTTTGAAGTGCGTTTGGTGCGGGTAATGACTGAATGTGACGCGTAGCAATAAAATCTGCAAGGAAGTTGTGTCACTGATACCAGCTTTTCTTTGCACGATAGCCAGCTGTTTGTGACAGTATGTTTCTGACTGTGTAGGTGCCTTGACTTTGAATGTTTGCCTAGGGTCTTAAGGTTTTATGACAGGTCTGCGTTCTCTTCTTATTGCTAATGTTCGTTGCGTAGGTCATTCTGGTTGCACGACAGCGAAGCGTCAGTTCTGATGTACTGTTGCTGTTGTTTCGCTGTTCAGACCAAGAGAACTGCACGTTCGCTCAGACGTCACCCTATCCACCCAGTTGGTGGATTATTGGAACAGCTTACCGCAGTAGATGACGCACCACCGGCGGAATGTTTCAAACGTCTTTTAGGCTACCACACGATGAAGACGCTGGGACTTTGTTTTCTGCGCTGCAACTGCGACGGGCCTTTGAGTAACGTCGTCGCACAGTGACACGCAAAAAACCCACAGTTAATCGGAACCGACGGATCTAACAACGGTTTTCCCCTATGCTCTATACCTTTGAATGAACTTAAGGTGGTGGGATGGTTTGCTGGCCTTAACAATCCAGTGGTCTGTGCTGGGTGTGCTTTTTTACCCGGATTGGTCAATTGTTAGAAACCAAAAGAACTCGTTGATCACCACAATATGTGCGCACGCCATTATCTATTCTCTTTCCTTTTACCTCTTCCATTCCTTGGCGTCTATGAAGTTGTGTTGTATTACACACAGTGTCTGAAGTGGTTCTCAGTTCACCTAACGTGTGCCATGTTGATGGTGACGTACTAATGTTGATAGTGATTGTGTATGTTGTGACTCAGTTACTGGCCTCTTCTTATCCGGTGCCTTGTTTCGCAATTGAAAATGATGATAAAAGCATTGTAAGCATTACTTCGCCTAGTTGGGAATTTGTGTGATATTTTGGCTCATCGGCAATTGTTAGACCAACATCATACTTCTCCCGAGCCCGCCATAGCTTTGTTTCTTGGTGTCCAGAGTCAGTTCCTCTCAGTCGATTTCTGCATTTTGTTAACTTGATTTCCAACCAGGTTACTCCTAGGAAATGCGTGAAAGATATTCATGTCTCGTACTCGGATCCTTGTTTTAGCAGCGAAAAGTCAAGTCATTGACTACTGAACCGGGTTCTTTTAGTCCATCTTGCTTTCTAGTGCATACGACCTTACATTGGCCATGCCCAGCTGCCGGCAGCAATGGCGTTTTGTCTCCCATCCCCTGACCGGCCGCGCTGCTTGTCTACGTGACTGCATAGCACTGATCTGTCTGTTACTTAAGAAACGCGACATTGAAGGTTGGATGAAAGCTGCGTCACCGATTCCGCTTAACCTTCGCATGATATCCAGTATTTTGTGACCTTGTTGACAAGATGTCTGGATCTATAATGCCTACTTTGGCTATTTCAGCACGGCAGTAGATTTTTCTTTACTCCTCTTATTCAACTATTATATCCAACCGCCACAATACCGGGTGTTATAACAACGAAGCACCGATACGATTTACTAGTGCGATTATGTTGTTGTCGTTGAGTGATCTTTGGTTACCATTTCCATTAATCGCTCATGACCCACAACTAACATATTGCTGATGCCCTGTGGTTTCCGTGCCAATATGACTTACCCCGTGTAATCTCTATGCTTGGTCTACCTCATGTTTAGTGCCCATGAATCTGGCACATGTTACATTAGCCATACCAAATTGCCTTGTCTCTCTCGGTTATCTAGATGACCGATCGGACGGAACTATTCAGTGTCAGCCCTCCGGTTCATTTTGGTTGAGGTCTATTCGCGAAACTTAGACCCTGGGACAATCGAATAAAACTTGTGGGACTGGTGGCGTATGTTGGGGATAGTTCGTCCAGCTTTGGGCATCTTTCTTGTTAATTTGCTAGTGAAATTAATCGCAATCTTCATTGAACCCCAGTTGGACGTTTTACCATACAGTAGCCATGCGTCGCACATGCTAAAATGGAATTGAATGGGTTTGGAAGGTTGAAAATGCCAATAGCTTTTCGATAGGATCAACTTTTATTCTAAACCTTCTGAACTCAATGATTCGCAATCGGTTCCCAGCTTATTCCCTGATCTAGAATTGGATGGGGTTGTACGAATTGGTTCTCGTTGGATTCAGATGTCATCGGCACAGCAATTTCCATGACCTATGTCGAAGAACACTGGGAGGCTTATACTTCAAACACTGCGCTCTCACGGGAATGATCGGCGCGGTCTCGCCCTGGGCGCTTATTCATTTTATGCTACCTGGGTTTCACAATCACTGAAGCTGCAGAAGCCGCCTTTTGATCGCGTTAGAACGCAAGATCATTTACTACGCCTAGTTTCAGCCGTTCTAACTCGATTCTAGTAAATAACGTTACATTAGTCGTCTTTGAGGTTCTCCAGCATCAATTGGCTCCTTTCGGGTAATATCATCTTACTTTTCCCTGTACCAACCAACTGCTACCTTTGATTGGTGTCTTTGTCTTCTGCAACGTCCATCTTGATTGACAATCCACATTCATTTGCTGCTTACCTTCTACCATATTTCACTTGACTGGCACTGCAGAAACCGCTAGTGCTGGACGCGTGGTCAATAGGTTTTTTAAAGCCAGATGTGTCTTGCATCCGGGACAAAATTCCCTTTCTTTTCATTCCTAATTTTAGCTCTAACTTCTCCGGATTAGTCGACTTTGTTTGCTCTCATATGAATGTTCAGGACTCTGACTCACACTACATATATATAGACAACATCCCATTAAATTACCGAGCTCAGCATTTACGAAATTTCTTCTCGCATTACGTGGAGTCGGCGGGCTTCATCTGTTTTCACTTTCGGCATCGCCCAGAGACCTTGGCTGAGCCAATTAACGATCAAATTGCGTGCGCCCATGTGTTATCATGCATTCGAAACAAAAAAAGAAATAAATCGAAGATGTGCAGTTTCATTGTGTTGCCTAGGGAAGCAACAGATGATTTCATGCGGCGTTACAACCATACTCATTGGCTAAGTGCAATTGAAAGCGATGATTATGCTCCGCTGTCAGAACAATGTCATCTGTCTTTGATAAACTTTGAAGACCGGAGCTCGGAAATCAGCGGTACGCCGTTCACTTTTGTGTACCTAGGTTACTGCTTATGTAGATCTTTTAAAGTTGATTGAATTCCAACCACCTGTTTGGATGCCTCGTGGAAACGTTGGAACACCAACACATCACTTCTTTAATTTGATCAAAACTTGCCAGCTGGAGCCCTCAGTCATTTCAAAGCTTAAACTTGATATTTCCTTATCCCGACGATTACGTTTGTACGGAGCTGTGCCATATGCTTACGATGATGTTGCTTCGTCTAAAACGCGCCCCCTTGCAACCCATTCACTCGGCGAAGTGAGATCAGGTACCGGTGCTCACATTTTAACTACTGCAGAATTCAGGGATTTGGTTTCTGTGAACCCGGTGAGTTTTGCGCTTCTTTTAGACGCAAAGTTGTTGTCACCTGTGGATGATAGATCAAGCTTATCCTTCTGCTCAACTTGGCTTAGTTGATCCACTGCGATCTGTGCATTCGAGTTCGATGAATTCAGGTGCCCTGATTCACGTCCCCATTTCTTGTGCGGTACATAAAACTGACTCGTGATAATTTAAGATAAATAGACAGACATTAAAATCACTGGGTAGATTTGTTTAGTTAGAACTATAAGAGTGAATGCAAGGGTGCGGCTTACCTTGTAGCTACACCAAATTTGTCAGTGCATCTATCCACTAGTGAGACCGACCTCAGTGCCTTCATCTAGGTGGGAAACACTGCTAACTCTTTTGTGGGTGTTTCCATGCTCCAATGCCACGTTATCCACCTCCTACATTGAAGCTTCACTTATCTCGACGCAATATTGCTTGACAATACCCGCCGAACCAGTCGGTTCGTTGACTTGTGAAGGACAGGGCTAATTCAGCGTAGGTGACCTGCGCACAACCTACCCGATGGTAACACCAGCGGCCCGTTGCCTAACACCAGATGGTTCATTCAGAGTCTCTACTGGAAATGAGTAGGGGTTCGCGAGCATCAGTCGTCAAACACAGGTCGTTTAGAGGCCATCTGCGTGCTACACACAGTTCAGTTCAGTTGAACAACTATGATCCGCAAACCGAACTGCGATGGACCCGGTTGTCACGACTCACATCGCAAGGATAACAATAAACAACAACGGTAAGATAGTGGGGTTAGAGGTACATAGAAGGTAAAGCAAATGGAAACAATAATGAAGTGAATTTAATTAATCATGATGGAACGAACATTAACAACCACATGCAGCAAACGGAATACAGGAACGCCACGGACTGTCTGGCTGCGCCATATCTGATACGGTCTCCAACCATTGGTTCGGACCATCCTGAGGTCCCTATCCACAAAGACGGTATACACCAACCTGACCAAGTCTCTCAGTCATTTTCTTCATGCCTCTATACCGCGTCATGGACTGGCCACCTCGCGGTTTCACCCAACATAGTACAGCCACGGCGTATAATGCACGCTGAGGAAGCCGGTCAACTGGCATACGGAGGATATGTCCTGGCCAACGCAAGCGATTACGATCCAGAAAACATTCGAATGAGGCATCAGAAGACTTCTTATCAAACCAACCTTTATACCAACAAATATGTAAAAGCGATACGTTACCCAAGAATATACCAGCTGTATGTTTTAATACTCTTTTTAATTCGCAATCGTTTGGGTGTTTTCTCCTTTGGCGCACAACTGTTGACTAAAGCGTTTACCTTCGGAAGCCTATGAGCGCAGCCTCGTATGGGTAATACTCAATTTGTTCCCTTGATTTATCTCGCACAAATGCAGCTCATTTTACGGCTTTACCTACGACTTACCCAGAGCTGCTAACGTTTTTCCACCTCGCGTTCACCATTCACTTTTATACAGTTTGTGCATGAACGATTTCCTAGTAAATCACATTCGTCTCGGCCTTTCTTTGAAAGTGACACCAAGTTAATCAACACACTTATAGTGCATATGGCTGTCACTATCTTTACGCAAGTAGGCGCAACAGTTCCATACCTTGCACCAGATGCAACGTGCGACTGAAGTGCACAATTGTCTGCACTAAACGTCAGCAGTGTACTGTCAAATTGTACGACCAAGCTAATTAGGTGTTGCCTCTGATTTTAGCTCATGAGTATGGTTTGAAGCCTACATGCACTAGGGGCGTTGCTGTGGTCGTCTTTTATCTGCGCTATTTGTTTACTACCACTGTGGTTAACAGACCATACTGTAGGTTGGCTCACGATGTAGTATCATTATAACTAAACTTCCCGCTTCTAAAAATCTGAGTTTCTGAGTTAAACAGACTTCTTTAGCGGAGCACTTATGTGAGGCCGGTGGCCGAGTGGTCGGCACGTTTGCTTTCCAACCATAAGGTCACCGGTTCGAATCCGCGTAGGGGTGGGCGTCCTCGCGGTATACTCAGCCCGCGCGCGACTAGTGGTGGTCGCGCGGCAGCGAAGCGTCGTTCGGCGTATAAGCTGACACATTTCATTTCATTTCATTCCACTTATGCGAGGAACAATCAATCGACTTGCTACGGTCGTGTTGTGGGTGGTCAAAATACCGTTTGAAAATTAACAACCATGGTCACGCTCACAGAAAACGTGACAGCAATGCCGACTCATTGCTAGAGCAGCATTCGCAGTTAGTGATGTGTATAACGCAAGAAGCTATGCACATTACGCCAAGGAGTTTAGCTCTGATTACTGTATTATTGAGCAAGTAGAAATGAATTCCGTACAACTCTTTCGAAATATGGTGAAAAACGTTATAAAAATTGTCGGCCGTGAATATCGTTATCGTTCTCATGTAACATGTAAAATATCTGACTCACGGTATTGCAGGACTCACAAATGTGAGATGTCATAAATAAATAGTTTATTCTCAAATTATAAAGACACACAATGGTAAGTGTGCAATCGTTCTCTGAATCGAATAGTGGTAAAATATAAATCCAACAACGTTTTGAACTGCTGCACAGATGTTGCCTCCATCACTTATTCCGGTAAGCTGTCCCAAGTATTTACCGCTCTCCGTACGAAGCACAGTGGGTGGGGAATTCGCTTCGCATCCGGTACGACAAGTTTGTATCTGTGTGCGCGTGTGCTGCATAGCCCACGTAAGTGCAGCATTAGTCTCACCTTGGAGAAGTCACCGAGATGTAGAATACGGTAGATCATAATGAGGTGTACTCGCACCCGACGGTAGGACAGGGTCCTAGTTTCTCGAACCGGTCTTCATACACCAAGCTACGTTAACTCGGGATGAGCCTGGTAGTAACGTGTTGGGCCCGTTCGATCTTTCGTGCTTCGCCTCGGGTAATCGGAAAGTAGACTGGCGTACCGTACTCTAGCATTTGTCTAATGATGGAAGAGGCGAGTGGCAACCTCTTCAGACTATGTGTCGAAGCTGCGTTTGAGCGCCCAAAGCATACGCGGTCCGTTACCATATAGCCTGTTCGTGTGGTCCACGGACTTCAAATCGTAGCGCGAGAGTACCTTTAGGTCCTTCACGGAGGGTGTGGGATATAGCGGTTGGTCGTCAAGGGTGTACGTTCAACCGTCAGCACCCTTCCCCAGACTCATAAGTACAGACTTTGCTGGGTTGACCGGGATATGAACTACTGTAGACCATGCGGATAGGCGATTGAGGTCTTGCTGAAGTAGGCCACAGTCGTCGGGAGCGTCAGTTTCTCTCTAAATCTTCATGTCGTTCGCAAACAAGGCACACAGCGACCGGAGAAGCTGAGGTAGATCGTTGATGTGGATCAGGTACAAAGTGGGCTCCAGAACAGTGCCTTGAGGCACGCCACTTGTAGATGGATACCAGTCAGTTAGATGGTTGTCGACCTGTACCATCCACTTTCATCCAACAAGAAAGTCGCGGATCCACCGGTACACTGAGCCACCGACATCGCACATCCTGAGTTTGTGAAGAACTTCATAGCTGACCTTGTCGAACGCTTTACTGAAATCGATGAATATCACGTCGACGGACTTCCCCTTGCTTATTGCCTTCAACCACTCATGCCTCGTCACAAGCAAGTTTGTAACGCATGAGCGACCTTGCATAAAACCGTGCTGCACGGGCGTCAGGACCTCTTGACTGTAGTAACTGCAATAATCTATTTTTTTTAGGTTATCTCAGCAACCTTTGCCAAAAGAAATGTCAGACAAATTGGTTTGTAGTTGTCTACTTTGCTACGGTCGCCCCCTTTCGGAATAGGCCTCACCACCGAACATTTCCAGTCAATCGGCAACAAACCTTCAGACAGCGACCTGCTGAAAAGGTCAGTCACGACATGAGAGATGATGACCGAAAGTGACTTGAGGATTAGTGGGTGAAGCCCAGCAGGTTTGGTTCCCTCAAGGCTGGAGAGTAGTTGAAATACTTCTTCAACGCTGCAATGCAGACTATCGAGTTCGGTAAAAGTGGTACACGTCGAACTCGGAACAGGCACCTGGTCATTTGCAAATACGGAAACGAAGTGCGCCGTCAACGCGGATGCACGCTCAGGGCTGGAGGTTAGAGGCTGTCCATTCAAGCCATTCAGCACTGGCACATCGCCTTCAGGCGTCACTTCACGTAAGCAAAGATTCTCTTTGGGGTGGTCTTCGCGGCGATTGCCAGCCGCTCTTCGAAATGTAGACGCTTATTCCTTTTTGCACTGTTGCACAGGTTCCGCTGACTTTTATACCCTTTGTAGTCATTGGCAGAGCCAGAGAGCAGGAATCTGTCCCACAGTCTGTGTTCCAGGACTTGGTGGGTTTTCACCTGGCAAGCGTTCTCCCTATAAAAGCCACATATGTCCGTTTAACAACACTGTGACGTGGCGGACGTGACTCGCCACTAAATAAAGTCAATGTCCTTTGCTTCATCCTGGCGAAGCATTGTATTCCAGGAAACTTATGCCTTAGTTCCCTGGAGCATTGGGCCCCTGTTTGATAAAGGAACAAACGGAAGGCGTATGAACTGAGCAATCAATCACCGGCTCCGCTGCCTTGCGGGCAGGCTATTCAGCTATAGGCTCGGGGTGGTGTCCCCTAAGTCAACACCCAACTTCGGCTTGGGCAACCGGGTAGTATCTCGCCGTCTGACGAAACCATGGACTTTAATTTGTTGCGTTGTGTTTTATTTTACAATTTCTGTACCTTCTTTTGAGTCATATGGTTTCTGATGGCTTCATGTCTATTCATAGACTGTTGCAAAATTATATATATATATATATATATATATATATATATATATACATATATATATATATATATATATACTGCGCCGTCTCCGAGTCAGATTTCCATACTCCTTGTCATACCAGTGAGGCTTAATCGGTCCAACCTTCCGACATTTCAAGAACACAAATTGGGAACACATCAACGTCAATCTCTCTTTTATGCATCTCCAACAGACTTCCATAGATGCAGCTTGTGACAGAGACCAATCCGGTTGGCTCGCGGCTCGAGCTAGATCGTCGAAGTCCGTTTTTCAGTAGTTGTAAGCTGATTACAGCGGACGTGAATACGGTAAATATAGTTCCATATCAGCTATGAGCACTGAGTGGTCGCTTGTAGCCAGGGACTCCAGGCTCTGAACGTCACGCACTCGTAGTTCGTTAACATCAGGTCGAGACAGGACGAGGTTGAGCGTGTTGTTATGCGTGTTGGCTGGCATATGTGTTGCGATGCACCAGTTTCAAGTACTAAATTCACGAACTTTGCTTCAACCTCACAATGTCCAGGCATCAAATGCATGTCAGGCCGTCGTATTCGACGACAGTTAAAATCGTCCATAAGTAGAAAGTGTGGTCGACTCATGTGCGTTAGAAGATGGACAGCCAATCCAAACGATGACTCAGAGGGCTGCGATAGACTGCGCTCACAAGTAGTTCTCCGCACCTGAGGTGGGTGGAGCACCATAGTGGCTCACACAAGCCATCGTCACTTCGGTAGGTTCTCACAAGTCTCCCAAGAAGGGAAGACCAGATGTAGAGCAAGACACCGCCGCGGGCATTCTTTAGTCTATCGCATCGGAACCACGAATAACCTTTGAGTTCAAGTTCCTGGGTGTATAACTCTGAATGCAGCCATGTCTCTGCGAGTCCCACTACGTCTGGCCGCTTAGACGCAACGAAACAACAAAGCTCATCGTGCTTGTTCACAACACTGCAAACTTTTGTGTAGGCTACTCGTAGGCTGCAGCAGCAGCCGCCGGGCGTGCTTAAAGTGTAAGCAGCCTGTTTGTCCTTATTCGCAGATTCTTGGAAACCACCCGAAAATTTACGATACGGAGATTTGTTTCCCCCTCGCTAGTACGTCTTTTCAGCTCAATGATGACAGACTTGAGCCATTCCCGGTCTACTGTGTCCAGGTCTGGACGAACACGGATCTTCAAACCTTTCAGCCTACTTAGGCGGGACATGATCAGTCTTGGACTGGCTTCGTCCACAAATGTGATTCTCATAGGCCGATTTTGTTGATCAGATTGCTTTTCAAGACGGGTACTTTGCCTCACTTTTACCGAGTCCTCAATAGCGTCGCGGAGTCTGTCAATTAGACTCTGTAAAAACTCGACATCGTAATCCTAGCGCACTTGGGGTGATGGATCACTGGATTCCGGTGCGTGGAAGATCACGAGGTTATAACGCCTCTGGTCGGACGAGATTGACCTTGCAGGGCAAAGTATATTACCAGCCTCACGTGGTTTGGCTAGCTGTAGGCTTACAGAAGTTAAACGCCCAACATCCTTTCTTTCTTTGTTCTTTCCACTGGTCTTCAGCACTCAGGCTTTCACCTGCTGGGACATCAGTGCTCGTTGGACACAACAAAGGTAAACAATTTATGCCAGGTGAAACTGGGCTTCTCACAACGGTTGAACTTCGTGCCAGTGAGTTTGCACGAGTAGAGGAGGAAGACTGAGCTGAAACCTGGTGGCTGTTCGGGCTTGGTTGTTGGACCAAACACACGGAGCTGTTCGCAACGGAATGATGGTGCTTACATCTCGGCTTTACTCTTCCTGGCTGTATCTTGTTTCAGCAATATTCACATAAAGTTTGAACGAAATCGTGTTGGATTTCACGAAGACGATCAAAGTGCTCCACTGATAATCCAACACATGAAATGTGGTATTTCACTTGGCACAAAACACGTGAGTGCATTTGCACGGTATCCATCTTGGGACGCGTACCACTGGGTGATTGCTTCGGCATTGTGAATAATCCGAAAACAGGATGACGACCAATTGCTGGAGAAAATGGCTATAGCAAGCTTGCCGAAACCAAGTGGTGCAAACACAAGTATTTCTGGTCGAAAAATTCATAATCAGAAATGAAACCGCATGGTATCTGAATTTCCATGGAATACTTCCAATGAACGAAGAATTCCAACACAAAATGAGCTTGTCAACATGGCCAAAAATAACCGACCGGAGGCCGCTATCTGCAGTGTGACATTTTGCTCAATTGCATTACTGAGCATCGGTTGTCTCGTTTTCTTCACTTATGCCTAAACTACAATGTTTGTTCCCCAGTTCCTTGCAATTACCTTTTATCCCACCATTCTAGCTATTAGAGCTCATCGCATCGCATGGCGGGTGGTTTCGTTTCTCTCATCGCACTTGTTGCACCTGCAGTACATTGTTTTAGATCTACTCTACTTAAACCTTTGAGCTTCCTTGGTCTTTTAGCTTTCATTCATACGTCTTTAATATCACTATCTTTTCAACTAGTGGTTTTCTGACCACGCCGACCTTCAAGATGATAACTGCGGTTATTACGTTGTGATACTCTATTACTTGCTAGCGTTCTCTGACTAATTCTATTTTTCACTCCACTTTATAGCAATCAACTGACGAAAACATTTTTCACAAACACTGTCCTGTCGCTGAACCCAGTGGGAATGATGCATTGCAACCTGAATCGGATGAATCAGCCGAAGAGTGGGATCGTTTCGAAGCGCTTCATGATGATCCCTACAAAGTGCAACGACGTGATAAATGTAACTTGAAGTATGAAGACAAAGCGGAATTAGTATGGGAAAAAGGTGGATCTGGCTTGGTGTTTCACACGGATGAGCGCACTTGGCGCAAACTAGACCCCCTGAGGAAGGAGGAACTGTTCGACGAACCTGGGTCTTTTGATTGGGATATCAATATGGAGCCATATGAAGTCCCAACAGAGCTAAGCGTGGGCCCAACTCCAACAGGACACTGGGGCGTGTCTCGGGATACGTCGGATTTAATAGATATACAGATTTCCAACGAGGGCACCGAACGTCCTCATCCAAGTTTAGATGCTGACTCAGTTTACCGTCAGGAGATTTGTGAAAAAGTAAGTTTCGGTTTTTATTTATGCGACACGTTTACACCTTCTGTTTAAACATAAGCGGAGGACGATAGTCTACTGTCTGATGGCAATGAGGTTGGACCTTACAGTGATGCGATGGTTTGTGTGCGTCAGCGATCCATTGAGCTATGTTGGGTGGTGCATTTTTGCACCTTCAGTGCCACTCATACCAGATTGATCAATGGTTAGAGCCCAAACAAACTCAGTCTCCTGGTCTTTCAGGTTGAGGGTTGGAATGAGGGTGGCTCCTTAGTCTTTAAAATGGACTCCTTTTAGCCCAACGCCAAACCCGCTGCCTTGCGGTCAGGTTTCTGAACCAAAAATTTCGGTTGAGAACCCTGTCTAGGCCTGGGCCATCTGACAGTATCCTGCCCACGCCATACAATGAATTTCTCTTCAAACAGTTTCTTGATGCTCTGGCCACCGCATAGGATAATAAACGGTGCCCTATCTGCTGCATCGAGCAGCGTGGATAGGGGTATGGATGCTACTGCTCATGCCTTTCCATCTTCTTATTCCCTCTCTTAGGCTGTTTTTCTCTTACCTTCCTGTTCCAGCTTCACTTTTATCCCCCATGTTTTCAACCCCCCAATTCTTGGCCCTCCCCCACCTTGCTTTGCAGGGCTTTTGCCTTTTAGTTTCAACTCACATGTGAACGCGGAGCGTCATTCCTGTCCTATCGACAAGCCCATGTCCAACCAAGCTGCGAAGCCCAGTTCATCGACTTCCATTTGGAGCCCTTCGATCCTCCTTCAGATTGGCATGCCTCAATATACACACATTGCTACAAATCGGTCAACAGACAACACTTGCCCGAACATTGGAGACCCTCTCGATCGATATCTGCTGCTTATCGGAGACCCGTCTGCAAGACTCGAGCTCTGCGCTCCTTTTCAGGTAACACCAGCAGCACTTTCTCATTGCGCCCATCTGATGACGATGCAGATTCGAGCATCGGCAAAGCCGGTGTTGGTATTGCCCTGAGTCCCCGGGGCTGAAGCTGCTCTGGTAGACTGCATTTCAATCAGTAGCCGGCTGTGTGCGGTCCGATTGGCTGGCTCGTTCAGAGCTTCGAAGTCGCGCGTTACTATGGAGTGTCTATTCGTCATCGCTGCCTATGCACCCACAAACTGTAGCGATGATTCAGTAAAAGACGACTTCTATCACAAATTGAACGAGCTCCTTCGCCACAGAAGTAGCTCGGACACTGTTGTACTGACTGGGGATCTGAACGCCCAAGTTGGAAAATTATCCACAGATTAGCTGCATCTGGGCGGCCAACATGGTGTAGGCTCCTATAGTGATAAAGCTGAGCGGTTACTTCATTTGTGTGAAGATGCTCGCTCATTTTTTGCCAGCACTAATTTCCGACACAGCACTCTCCGGAGGGTGACTTGGCGCCCACCAGCGTCGAACCAGCTATGGACGCAAGTCGATCACATTGCTATCAGTTACCGCTGGAGAGGCTGCATCCAGAATTGTCGCTCGCTTTGGAGCACATGTGTGGACACCGATCATACACTTGTATGTGCTGACATTCGGATGCGTTTTGACAGACGCCCACAATGACGTTGTGAGAGCATTGGCACCAGCCAACTGACAAAACCAGCTGTTCTGAATGCGTATCGAAGTACGCTAACATGCGAGTTGAGCAAGCGCTCACAAGAGACAATTGATGGTCACTGGTCACATGTTCGCCAGACCTTACTAGCAGCAGGCAAATCCTCATGTGGTATGTCTAATAGACAACATGGACATTGGGTCTCTTCTCGGTCTCTGGAACTTATAGATGCTCGCCGGCAAATCCCGGCTGGAAGCGAGCACAATGAAACTCGCAAAGAGCTCTGGGCAAAAGTCCGTGCTAGCCTGAAGAGAGACCGCGAATCTTGGTGGTCTCACCGTGCGTTAGAGATGGAAGTGGCCGCTGCCCTTGGCATCCATTGTAAGTTATTCCGTCTTATACGCGAAACGGGCAACAGGAGACTTAGTGTTAGTGAAACTATACGTGACGAGAGTGGACAACCTATCCACAATTTGCCAAAACGCTTGGAGCGTTGGGCTGAGCATTTTGAAAAGCAATTTAATCGACTAGAATTGTTCGATTCTTCGCCGGCCAGTGATCGCTTTACTCCGTGGGCTGTCTTTTTGGATCCACCCTCGCTCAGAAGTCGAAAGTGAGGTCGGGCTGTTGAACTTTAATAATTACGCGGGACCAGATGTTCTTCCTCCTGCCCTCTTCAAATTCAGGGGATCTGATTTTGCGGATGATTTATACGAGTTATTAATGAAACTGTGGGAGCAAGAAACTGTCCCAACCGACTGGAGTCGCTCCGTTATTGTTCACATCTTCAAAGGAGGCTCGCGTTCGGAATGCGGCAACCATAGAGGAATCAGTCTGATCTCCATCGCCTCCAAATTGCTTGACTCTGTCATCCCTCACATACTGATAGGCACTCCTGAAAGCCATATTCGTGTAGAGCAAACTGGGTTTCGTTGAGGTCCTGGCTGCATTGGTCACATCTTCACTTTGCTTCAGTGGTTGGAGCACCGTCACATATATTGGCGGCCCACCGTTGTCGCATTCCTCGATATCAAAGATGCATTCGATTCGGTGAATCGACGTGCACTTTGGGACTGTCTACTCAGGATAGGTGTACCTGAGAAATATGTAAATGCGTGCGTAGCTCATGCAGTGAGGACTTACGGCAAGCTGTCGTCGCCCTTTAATATCTCCAGCGGTGTGAGACAAGGATGTCCGCTGTCATCTTTCCTCTTCAACTTCGTTATTGACAAAGTCATTGAAATCGCTTTCACAGGACATGACTTAGAAGGTGTGGATCTGCTCCCAGGGGAACGACTTCTTGACTTGGAGTATGCTGACGATATTTCCCTAATTTGTGACAGCTCGTAAACCTGCCATGCGGTACTGGACAGATTAGCGGTGGCTGTCCGTCACTCCGCGCTTTGCTTCGCACCCTCGAGGTGCAAAGCATTCCTCCAAGATTGTTCTGGGTCGCCTCCTACGCTGACCCTTGGTGCGGATCAGCTAGAAGTCATTCAGTAGTTCAACTACCTGGGAAGTTGTATGAACGCCCTTTAGATCGAAGATGAGATCACGAACCGTATATCAAAGCCTCGAGGTGCTTTTGCTAGCGTTCGCCACCTATGGCACCGGTGCGACATCACTGTCGCCCTGAAGGGTAGAGTGTACAATGCAGCGGTATGTTCGACCCTACTGTATGGTTGTGAAATCTGGCCCCTTAGTTTAGCGTACATAGCGTGGCTTGTTACGTTCGACCATCGGCGCCTTCGCAGTTTGGCTCACATCTGGTGGGAACCGCGTGTTTGAGGCCTTCTTTACGACACAGGAAAAGGAAATGAACCGCTCAGCACCGTTATTTCACGCACCAGCCTCCGATAGTTGGGCTACGTATTGCGCATGCCAGCCCACCGACTCCCGCGACGTGCGTTGTTCGCTCACCGGGGATGTGGGTGGAAGAAGACTAGGGGTGGCCAAGCGATGACTTGGTCGAGAGGAAAGAAGACCCTCACTTCGAATGTGACCGTTTGGAGCGCCTCGGCTTCCTGGTTGGGGTCAGCAAGGCGATGAACACGTTTGGCTGGATGCACTTGCTGATATGGCAAGGAGCCGACCTCAGTGGCGTTCGTGTTGTGAGTTTCTTTGTCCCTCCCCATCCCTTTTAGCCTTCCGCTTCCAAGCACTATCTCATTTCGTAACGTAATATAATTTTACATAATAATTTTTATTGTTGCCCACTAGCCGGCAGGTTGCTTACCGGGACGATACCCATCCATTACCGGTAGCTCAGCTGGCTTGCACCTGTTGCATTTTTCCCTTTCTTATTTTATGTATTGCAGCACAGTAGTTGAGGTGTCTCCCACCTCTAGCTATCCTGTAGTAAGATGTTGAATGATTATGTCACGCAATATAGTTGAAAAAATGTAAGCGCCGTGATCTCTGACGTTTGGTAAGGCATTCTGGTTTCATACACGGTCTGCCTTCTTCTAGCTTATAATCATTCATTTCCCATGCCATTGTGTTGAACGGCAATGAGACATCAGTTCTAATTACTTTTGTACATCTGTTAATGATAATGCTGATAACTATTGTGGTCAAGGAACTACGCTGTATCTAGTTTCTCCCCACGCAACGTATGTAAGTAATTCTGCTTCGATTTGTAAACGTGAACTCCTTGCTTAAATGCGTTGTAGCATATGCTTTTTATGACCCTACACTTGTGTTTCTGAATGGCAGAATAATGTGCAACGTAGGACTCGGGCCTGGCTTTCTGCATGTGCGCTTCGGTAGAACCAGATATTCCTGACAGTTTAGTTAGTGGCAAGCCGATGAAGATGTGACCTGTTTAACGTAAGATGCATGCAAATGTAACCGTTACATCACGGTACTTGTCTAAGAATTTAGCGTCGTAAATCGCGTTAGCGTGCTATTAGCTTGGAATGGTGTAAGTAGAATCACAGTTATCCATGTGGAATAATCCATCTGGTGTGAGAAATTGCAATTTTCTGATCTTTTTCACCCCAGGTGGCTATCTTATCCTGCTTCTTGTAGGCATTTCTTGTATCGATTCTGCCATTAAGCCTCCTCTGACGGCGTTTTGATCAAATACCCTTTACCACTGACCTTTTGTCATGCGTAAAATGTTACCTAAGGCTATATATATATATATATATATATATATATATATATATATATATATAGCCTTAGGTCACATTTTACGCATGACGAAAGGTCTTTATTTTACGCAATCTCTTACTTCCGGCTATGTCTCTAGTGTTGCGGAAATCGGAGTTGCTAGTACATAGCCGAATAGCTGTGATGCAGAAATCATAGTCAAGGCAATAGCTTTTTGCACATTGTTGGTTTCGGGAAACAAGCGTTCCCAAGGGCTATTTTTCATCACGAGGGACCTGTGCGCTCCTGTCCCACACTGTCGCTGATCCAA